CAGAGGCAGAAAAGGATCTTGGAGTCATCATCGATGCCAAGATGAACACAGGCCGGCAGTGTGGGGATGCAGTTAGGCAGGCCAACCGCACCTTCTCATGCATCCACAGATGCATCTCAAGCAGGTCCAAGGAGGTGATACTTCCCCTCTATGCGGCACTGGTCAGGCTGCAGCTGCAGTACTGCATCCAGTTCTGGGCGCCGCATTTCGAGAGGGATGTGGACAACATGGAGAGGGTCCAGAGGAGGGCCACTTGCATGATCAGGGGGCAGCAGGGCAGGCCCTACGAGGAGAGGCTACAGGACCTGAACCTGTTCAGCCTCCACAAGAAAAGGCTGAAGGGGGATCTACTTGCCTGTTACAAACTAATCAGAGGGGACCAGCAGGTATTGGGGGAGTCCCTGTTCCCCCGTGCACTACCGGGAGTGACCAGGAATAACGGTCACAAGCTGGCAGAGGGTAGATTTAGGCTAGATATCAGGAGACGCTACTTCACTGTCAGAGTGGCTAGGATCTGGAACCAACTTCCAACAGAAGTGGTGCTAGCTCCTACCCTGGCGGTCTTTAAGAGGAGGCTAGATATACACCTTGCTGGGGTTGTTTGACCCCAGTACTCTTTCCTGCCATGGCAGGGGGTTGGACTCGATGATCTGCTCAGGTCCCTTCCAACCCTAGAAACTATGAAACTATGATGCAACTATTTAGATGCATTTTGCAATGTTCCAAGCCAAACTGTGAGCATTTCTAGGGTTTTCCTGGACACGTCCTCTTTTTCGGTCATGTCCACATGCTACAAAATGTAGCATCGTTTGTAACTTGTGTCTACAGAGGTCCCAGCCTATGGCTGTTTTCAGAGTGGGAGGGAGGGAAGGGAGCAGAGGGAGTTCAGTCTGGGGGTTTTCAGGCCCTCCCCCAAGAGTGGGGCAGGTGTATTACACTCCCCTGAGGTGGGGGGGAGGTTCCAACCAACCCACCCCACCCTTCAGCACCAGCTGGGGACCCCCAAGAACCAGCTCCCTCCACTGTCTTTTCCCCTCCCATTCCGAAAACAGAGAGCACTGACAGAGAGCCCTGGCCTTACTGTGGGAACCTGGCTGCAGGCTCCCAGCCCCCAACTAGATTCCTATCTCCCCTGGAACCAACAGTGAACTTCTGTTTGGTCTGTTGTAACTCAGAATGGTTTGCAAAAATTGTTCTGAGTTACAGCCTGGAGTTCCTGGTACAACAGAGACTTTGACTCCTCTTCTCTCCAAGCAATGCATTTAACAAACCTACCAAATCTAAAACAGTAGAAAAATCTAAGAAAAATGTTTCTTTATAGACTAACACTTCCAATTTTTTCTCACTGATTAAAATCTAACAAGAAAGTAAGACTTGTAACCAGATATACAGAAACCATGAAAGAATCATTCACTACATTTTGGACTCAGAAAACATAAAGAGTAAACTCAGAAAACATATGAAGAATAAACTTTAGAAGCTCAAGAACAAGTAGTAAACTTACTGCATCTTTTTCAGGGTTGCAGACTTTCACCCAGAGGATATGATCTAACAGCCAATCAATAGGTTTCTCCTTGTAAAACATAAATATAAACTCCACAATAAACGTGATATCTGGAGACTGGAACATTTTACCTGTAAATATATTATTCTAAATTCAGTAACAGTTATTCAGAAACAAAGACTATTGGTCTACTGATGTTAATAAGCATGTAGATTATATTGTTTGCCATCAAAATTAAACAAATAGAAAAATCACAAAACAGTTTTCTACAGCAACATAGCTCCCAGAATGTTTAAAGCAGCTCACTAGAAACAGAACTTTTCATCAACACTACGGAAGACAAAGAAAAAGTACTTCCTTTCTAGTAACTACAATTTTTGAAGATGTGTTTGTCCCTATGTATATTCCATTGTAGACTGTGAACGTGCCCCATGCATCCAAGACCAAGGAATTTTTGGAGTCGTGCCCACTCAGTTATGCTGCTTACACTCATATGGAAGGTATAAAGGGGAGTGTAAGACCAGATGCCACTCCTGTTCATCTCCTATTGAAGACTATATAGTATAAAGTATGGAGGAATTTAAAATAAAGGGCAGGAAGAGAAGCAAACACAGGGACAGCACATCTCAAAGAACTCCAATTACTATAAAAGTAAGGACATTTTATTTCTCCAAATGCTTGTTCCCGCATGCATTTCACCATAACTGAACATCAAGCAGTATATAAACCAGGGAGGTGAATGCTTGGAGTCCTGTTGTTGTAGCGAGAGAAGAGCTGCCCTACAAAAAAAATCATCTGCAGCAGCTGTCAGAACTAACATGCAAAGTTTTATTAAGGTATGCATGGAACCCCACATTGTTATCTTCCATAGGTCAGCATTTTAAAAGGAGCTACTGATGTTGCATGGGTCCTGGCTGTGTGTGCTTTAGCATCAGTGTCTTAGATAATTCAAAGAAAATTAGTTCATATTTGGAGATGCAATGTAATAATCCTTGGATAAAAAATTCACTCATTCTCTCAGCAAAAGAAACAAATAGTTTCAGAAATCATCCAAAGGGCTTTTTTGTCTCCAGGAAAAATGCTGCAGCTTCTAAGAAGTATACTTTCATTTTTTTCATGATTTGCATAAGATTGGGAAAGAATACAGCTGAGCAAGTTGCTCTATTAATTTGAAATTCTGAAACTTTTTGGGAGTGTGGTCTCAATGAGACTAACATGATGAAACAATACATGGGACAGGTCAGACAGAGGAGCTCCTATCATCCTGGCTGCTGTTATGCTTAGAAGGCAAGCCACTTTCAGAGTTATGGAGGAATGAACATGAGGCAAAAAGGTTTCAACTGGGGAGGCTCATTAGAGTTATCAACACTAAACTGAGATTCCCTGATGATGTCAGTTTCAATAATGCTGGGAAAACTGTTCCATTCCTTTTGGAAATCCCATTGTTACTGGGAGCAAGAACATAGTCCAATTACCTCCTGGAAGGATGGAAGGCTGCCAAGTACACTCAAAAGGAAATATGGGAGAGTTGTGAAATTTTCAATAACAGGCCAATATATTTGATAAGCCTCACTGTAGTGGACATGCATAAAGCTGATCACATCATGCCTAAACTCTTTTGTTTCATCACATAAGGTTTCTTTATATCTGTATATGTTTTTCTAGATTAATTTCTGCTATACAAAGGATTGATTGAACTTCAACTGAATGCAATCTTTCTAGCGTGCATTGCTCAGTGGGTTTCTAACAACTTTTAAGGGCTGAAACCATCTAGATGAGTGATTCTTAACCTGGGATGCCGTAAGATCCTTCTAAGGGTATCCCAGGGTGCCATGCCAACATTGGCACTGTTTGGTCGCAAATACCTACACATAGTTTATAAAAGAAATCCAGGTATTTTACATATAAAAGGCTTAGTCCATATGTCTGTGTCTGTCCGTCTGTCCATAACACTCTTGGAGCACTCTGATTGGTTGTTTCGGCAGCCAATTACAATGCTTACTGAAACAACCAGAGTGCTCCATGGCAAATGGTGGGGATGGA